GCTGGGCTGGGACTGGGGAGCAATCTAGGTAAGACTCCTGCTGGCCCTGGTGCCCACCAGTTTCTCTTTAGGCAAATCGCTTCCAACAGGAAGCTGGGCCCAGAACCTCTTCTCTTTCAGGGCCATAAACCTGATTTAAAAACCAAGTTATCACCAAGATCTTTATGAGGCCATTGTCTCTGCACCCCACCCCAGAAGGCCCTGGTTGGGTGTGTGAGAGCAGCTCAGAGGGAGGACTTCCAGAGGGAAGAGGGGCCCAGTAAACAGCCGCTCCCAGAGATAAGGGGCTGTCACAGAGGAAGAGGCTGCCACGTGGGGGTGGGGGCTCTCCTGCTACACAGGGTCTCAGTGCCACAGCCAGATGGCTGTCCAAAGCAGCCAGCCCCCAGTGGTACCTTGGGGACACTGAGGCCCAGGGAGGCAAGGGTTCAAGGTCACATGGTGAGTCAGAGGCCAAGGCCGGGGGAAGACCTGTGATTTCAGGCGCCCAGCTTGAAAGTTTTAAACAAGGTTATAGTGTCCTCTTAACATGTAACATGACGGGTAGTTTAGGTCTCTGATTGAGGGGTCCACAGAGGGGTGAGGGTGGGGGGTAGCTGAGGCTCTTTTGCATGAGGAAGCCAGAAGAGGAAGAAGAACTAGGTATTTGTTTAGGCAAAACCCTGGGTGGGAAGGAGAGACACATACAGACTCACTATCCTTCCAGGCAGCTCAGCTGGAGAGGAAAGAGAAACTTCCAGACAAGCCCCTGACCTGCTGTGTGGGCTCAGGCAGGTAACTTCACTTCTCCGAGCTCTAGCTGCTTCATCTGCAAATCAAATTGGGGATAAGAATGATCCTACCTTACTGGGTTGTGTGAGGATGAAATGAGATTAATACATGCAAACAACTTGGTATGATGCCTGGCACTCCATAAATAATGATGCTTTATATTATCATTTACCGATTATTTACCTATTTATATTTATTATGCATTATTTATTAATGCTCAACAAGTAATGATGCTATTGTTATTATTATTTCAGCACAGGTGAAAGAGTAAACACTGCAACCTCAGAAAGATTAAGTGAAAGGGTGCTGAGCTGGGCATCAGAAGACCTGGGTCTGAGTCCAGTACAGTGCTGACTTGCTGAGGGAACCTGGAAAAAAATCCCTGCTTTCTTTAGGCTTCTGGGCCTCAGTTTCTCTATCTGTAAAAGGAGTGAGTTGGAGGATCAGCCCGGCTGGCTGAGAAGCCCTTGGGTACTTGGGCTGGGCAGCAAGAAAGGCACCCAGCTTCTGTGCCCAGCCATGTGTCACTCTGGCCAGACACCTAGCCTCTTCATGTTTTCTGCCTCCTTTCCTCATTCAGCAAATGAGGCCAGCTTGTCCCACCAGCACCCAGGGCTCAGGAGAGAACAGGCCCAAGATGGGGTGATGAAAAGATGGGTAGAGGCCTCTCCAGGAGATGTCTGTGGAGGTAGGCACCCCCTGCCTCCACCCTGGGAGAGGATGGCAATGAGGGGGCCATGGAGCCCTCCCCCCATCCCCACGCACCCCCAACCCCAGGCCTCAAGCCTCCCTGACTCTGCTCTCTCCCTGGCTAGCGAAATAGTCCCTGCTTTGCCTGGAAAGTCCCCCCTCCCTCAGCCACCACCCAAGTCCTGAACACTTCATCACTCCTGGACCCCTGCCCAGCTTCCCTGTAGCTCTTGGGCTTCCCGCCTCTCCTCTGGCTCATTCTCCACACACCAGCCATAGCCCCCTTCCCACCAAGCAAAAACCCTTGATAACAACCTCCTCTATCCCTTATCAAGCTTGTTCTGCCAAGCCTTGCTCTGTCTCTCCCCACACTCATCTCTTGCCCCTGTCTTGTGCCCCTGCCACCATCACTGAACTCCAAATCAGTCTTTCAGTTCTGGAAGACCATGTGTCCCCAGCGTCAGCCCCTCTGCTCACACTGTCCCTCTGACCACAGTGCCCTTCCCTGCTCCCCAGGGCCCTGACTCATATGTCACATCCTCTTGCAAGACTTCCAAGTCTCCTTCCCTTGGGAGAACACTCTGGATTCCTGGCCCTCTCCAAAAAGTAATTTTACCCTTATTTGTGATCATTTGATTCATACCTGTTTCTCCCCCTTCCCATTCTGTAAGCACTCCAAGGACAGAGCCTCACCTAGTACCTAACACAATGTCAGCATAAAGGAGGAGTGTTAATACACATTTTCCAAACATATGAACTGCCTGCAATGCAGGAGATTGCCTGCAATACAGGAGACCCAGGTTCAACCCCTGGATAGGGAAGATCCCCTGGAGAAGGAAATGGCAATCCACTCCAGTATTCTTGCTTGGGAAATCGTATGGACAGAGAAGCCTGGCAGGCTACAGTCCATGGGGTCGCAAGAGTTGGATACAACTTAGCAACTAACTACCACCAAACATAGGAATACACGAACAAATGAATTCCTATACCTACTCCTAAACTTTAAGCCTTCCATCTAGCTCTGAGGTAACATATTCTTGGAATCAGAGGGCACCTAGAGGGCACCAACTTCCTCACCTCCCAGGATAGGCATCCTGTAAGCAGCATCCCTGACTGGGGACCTCCAACAATCACTTGCGTACCTTCTGTGATGGTGAACTCACTCTCTAACAACAGTCCTTTCATGACAGATGGCCCCTTAGAGAGCACTTTATTATGGAGGGGTTGAAATCTGTCTGCACCTGCAGCTTTCTCTCTCAGGTCTTAGGTCTGCCCTGTTTCCTTCCTCAAACTCAGACTTTCGAGCCACCCTCCAGGTCTTTTTCCTGCAGTCCAGTCTAAGCAGTGATGGTTACACCAGCTCAGAGAACAGAGCCCAGTCCTCTGGGGTGTCTTCTGCCTTCTCTGTGTACTTCCCGGTTGCTCACCAACCCCTTGAAAGATTGGGTCCTGGGTTCAGATGGCTTCTGAGCAAACCATCCCCAACACGTCCACTTCCTGACCTTCCCTGCTGAAGCTGTAGGGAGCTCATCCATGTCAGCCACAAACCAGGAAGCCCTCTTTCCTCGCTTCCATGAACAGCATTTATTTTGCTGCATAGACCTGGGCACAACCCTTTTCCTTTCTGGATGTTGGTGCTTCCCTCCGTACAATGAAAAGAGCCCCTCCAAGCACAAAAGGGCATCCTGGGCTCACTGTCCCTCACTCGGTTATGGTATCCATCAGAGTCCCAGAAGGACAAGATTCTGACCAAGATCAGCCTCATGGCTGAGACACCGGTGCAGTCACGCAGGGCCCAGTGTTTAGAAGGGTGCCGTGCTTGGCTGTGCGCTCTGCGGCTACCATTTTGAAATTTAAAATGAGTTTTGAACAAGGGATCTCACATTATTTTGCACTGGGCCCTGTGAACTGTATCCTCATCCTGACATATCTTTCTAGTCCTGAAATGATGCTGACCTGCCCTGGCTAGTGTGGCAACTCAAGGGAGGGACAAGCTTTTATCTATTCAAGATAAGACTCTGATTCCACCTTCGGGGCCACATGTCCTTGCACATTTAGGGGGCTCCCAGGAAACACTGGAGGGTCAAACCCCATAAGGGGTTTTTTACAGGCCTTCTGATCCAGAGCCCTGTTATTCATGAATCCTTCCCCCAAACCCTCAGTTTCGCTCCCCATTCTCAGTTCACTAATGATCTCTCAACTCTTTACCCTCAACCGCACCCCCCCCCACCCCGCCACATCATAGCTCTGAAATGTTTGACAGTCTTTAATTGGGTAGGATGAGTGGGAGATGCATGAAACATTTAAAATCCAAGAGGTCCCCAGCTATAATAATAAATGGATTAGGGCTTTAGGATAAACCAACTATTAAAAAGACATTTTTTTAAATCAATTAAAATACTCTGAATGTGAATGTGAATTAGAAAATACACCAAAATTTGCGTTAAATTTTGTTAGGTTTGATAATAGCATATTATGTAAGAAAATGTGCATGTGTTTTAGAGATGCATGCTGAAGTATGTAGGGATAAAATGACACGATGTTGGAAATTTGTTTTAAAATACTTCAGCAAGAAAAGGGAGGTGAGTCAGTTAAATAAGTGTGGCAGAATCTTGATAATGGTTGACGCTCTTGACGGGTCTATAGTGATTCACTCTACAATTCTACTTTTGTGTGTATTGGAAACTTCTCATTAAGACGAAGGTAGGGGTGGGGAGGAGGGAGGGGGGTGTCAAGAGAATTGTGAAAGGTTCACTAGAATATCTCTAGAAGAATGCTCCTACCCGACTTCTGTGAGAACTTCCTCTGCAGCGCAAACTCAGGTGAACTCCCCAACTGTTTGCAAACTCTTGTATGTGCATATGTGCATTTCCCCCAGGGGAAAAACATCCACAGCTTTCAGGAGAGACTAAGAGGGGTCGTGACCCCTCCTCCCCCCCCAAAAGATTAAGGACCCGCTACCTTAAAGACGAGAACCATGTTTGAAGTCAGCGGTTCCTCCCTTTCACCTCAAACTGTTCCCTACCGACTGCCCCACAGGCCCGGTGCGTCTGTGTGACGCTAACCTGCAGTCCCCCCACTACCACCACTCAGATCCCTTTTCTTCACCTGTAAAAGGGGGTTGCGGAGAGGTCGGTGTGGCGGCAGCGAGAACAAGCCGCGGGGAGGACTAGCCCCCAAGGCCGCTAGGCCGGGGCCTTGCAGAGGCTCCCATACCTAGTGATGCCTCGATGCTCGCCGGGATGCGCCCTCCGCGCCCCCACCCTCTCTGGCCCCAGAGTCCACCTCCCGCTTGGGGCGGCAATTTGTCTCCTTTTGAACCCCCGCCCCCGACGGGTTTCCCCCTTTGATTCGCGGCCTGGAGGCTCCCCCCGCTTTGAAATGCAAAGCCGCCGCGGCTGGGGCGGCAGGCGGCCCGGAGCTATAAAAGGCCTGGGTGGGGCGGGCGGCAGCAGGGCTTCAGGTGTGCAGTTGCTCGTCGGGGCAGCCGGCTGCGGCGGCTCCAGGGCCCAGCATGCGCGGGCGGCCTCGCGGCCACCATGTACGTGGGCTATGTGCTGGACAAGGATTCCCCCGTGTACCCCGGCCCCGCCAGGCCCGCTAGTCTCAGCCTGGGCCCGCAAGCCTACGGCCCTCCGCCCCCGCCCCCTGGACCCCCGCAGTACCCTGATTTCACCGGCTACTCTCACGTGGAGCCGGGCCCCGTGCCCCCTGCAGCCTGGAGTGCGCCCTTCTCTGCGCCCAAGGACGAATGGGCTGCTGCCTACGGCCCGGGCCCCACGGCTCCCACCGCCAGCCCGGCCCCGCTGGGATTCGGGCCCCCTCCGGACTTTGGCGCGGTGCCCACGCCCCCGGGGCCTGGCCCGGGTCTCCTGGCGCAGCCCCTCGGCGGCCCAGGCACACCTTCCTCACCCGGAACGCAAAGGCGGACACCCTACGAGTGGATGCGGCGCAGTGTGGCGGCTGGAGGCGGCGGTGGCAGCGGTAAGGATCCCTCTCTCGCTCTGGGCCTCCGAATGGTTCCCCTGGGCGCCAGCAGGTGCTGTCTGACCTCTGCCGTGGCCCTGCTTGGGTTCCAGAATGTGGCCCCCGACCACTCTCCCTGGAGGCTGTTCTCTCAATTTCCCCCTTCTGAATCCCGGCCTGCCAGAGCATTGGAAAGCACAACCTGTCTTTCCCTGTAGGTACGGAAACTGAGACCCAAGCAATGAAGAAAGATGCCCTGTAGGAACTAAACACAGGTCCCCAGACCTTTATCCCTGCGTAAACTTTTGGCAGCACTGGTCCAGGTGGTCATCTGTTCCTTGCACCCCTATCCCAGCCTCCACGCTGCAAGCGCCCAAGGGACATGCACTATATGTGTACACGCACAAGTCACTTTCCTTTCCAGGTCTCAGTCCCCTATCCATATAATGAAGAGATTGGCGGGTCATATCCTTTGGGCTAAAAAAGAGCCTTCTTTGGTTACGTCGGTGGTGATTGAGGGTCCCCACCTTACCATCCAGGGCTCTCCCTGAACTCTTGACCCTGGGGGAGGGGACAGCAGCAGCAGTTGGGAAGGTGGCTACTGTTTGGCTCCTGAGCCTGTGAACCTCCTGCCCCCAGGCAGGCCTCTCGGATCCACCCTCTTCAAAGGCAGGGGAGAGGGCAGGACAAAGGCTCAGCTTTAATAGGGGGCGGCCTGACCTCTTTATAGGTCCCCCCTTTGTCATGTAACAGGCTGGGCCTCGGCTCGGTAGTGACTCCTGTCGGCCGGAAAGTGAACATGATACCCCATTGTCCTGACTGTGTTTGGCCTGTCCTGACAAAGGCCACCTGGCCTTAGGGGCGGGAAGTTGGCCTGCCCACCCTTTGATGTCCAGCCCCTCCTCCCCTTCCCCCAGCTGGGAGTGAGCCTGGGCCTTCCCCACCTCCCCGCCCTCTCTCTCTTCACCCCCACGTCCCCCCACACGGACAGCTCATCCTGGGGCAGATGCTGTGGAGGGGGTGACCAGCAGCTACAGGTCTGACTGCAACTGTACCACCTCCTTGAGAGTCCCCGGGATGCAGAACCTCCTATCTGCCTCCAGAGGCCTCAGAGGACTGAGGTTTCTGCTGCCGCTGTGCCACTTATCTCTGTGGCTAAATAACAGCTAATTCTTACAGAGCACCTACTAACAGAGCAGGCGCTGACCTAAGATCTTTTCATCCTTCTAACTTTATCATGTGACTATTATCACCCCCATTTTCAAGACGAAGAAACTATGGCATAGAGAGATGACAAAGTAGGACATATATAGTTATACTTTTGTAACCAGTACATGGTGGGGCTTGGATGTGACCAAGCCTGTGCTCTAATCCTCTCAACAGAGTCCCTTAAATCAGCCATCTTTTCTAGGTCTCAGTTTTACCAGCTGTAACATGAGCGAGAAGGGTCTTGTACATTTGTTTGAGTTACAAAAGGACTCCTTTGAAAAATGTGGTGGAAGGCATAAATGTTCTCCCTAGGAAAAAAGAAAAAGTGTTTTCTAATTGGGCAGACAATTTCAGGGGTTCCAAAGGTCCCTAGAAGCTTTATCCATAAACCTCAGTTGATAATTTTACCTTAGATTATATGAGAGAAAGTGTCTGGGGCCACAGACACTTGGGGTCCTGCGGTTCTGTGTCTCTTTTCTGAAGAAGAAAGTCCACTTGTCCTGCTCCTTTATTCCAGTTGCTACTTCCTGCTCATCAGCCGACTATGGAGATGGATGGGGAGGTTCTCCAGGGGCCTGTGGCGGTCAGAGGACTGGCAGGAGCCCTGAGGCGCTTCCAGGCTGTGTGATGTCAGGCAAATCCCGGCTCTCTGGGCACTGGAGCTGCCAAACCCGGTTCGGCTCGGGTCTCAAAAGTCATCTGGAAACTGTTGCCCTGGGCACATTGGAGGCCTGGGAGTAACACTGCCCAAAGGCAAACATTCTTTCACTCTCACTCCCAGAAAGTAGAAGGGTGGGCCAAGGGAGGTTTGGGGGTTCCCAAGGAAAGTGGCCACCCCTGGAGCCAGGTGAGAACCACTCTGCCATTAGGAAGCTGGAAGCTGCCTGTCCACTCAGGTGGCATCTGAATCTGACCAGTGCTCTTGAGGCGAGGGCAGAACTGGGTTGAGGTTACAGACACTCCCTGAGAGAGGGGCCAAGCCCCTTTCCTCTTTGGCCTAGTTTGTCCCTCTGGGGAATGAAGATGTGGGGTCTCCACGGGTGTTTCCTGGGTAACACGTTGTCTGGAACAGCAGAGGGTAGGTCAGTGCATGCCATCCCCCCCTCCCACCCCGCACAGTGCTGCTGGTCCCCGATCTGATGGTATCCTTCCTGCCCCTTCCTTGCCTTCTGTGCTTCTAGCATTCTAGAATATCTGACTGGACAGTTAGAGACCAGACATACAGATGGGAAACTGAAGCCTGGAGATTGTAAGGGAAGGTTCTGGTTTCACACAGGTGGAGGCTGGGCTGGGGTATATGTTGGATGACTCAGTTAAAAATTTTCTGATGGCTTCCCATTATATTTAAGGCAAAATTTACACTCCTTCCTGAGGTCTACAAAGCTATATGTACTTCTACAGGCAAGTCTTATACATTTTCTGTATTCCCTCTTCCAGGAAAACTCTTGCCCCAGACTCTTTGCAAGCTGTCTCACCTTTCAGGTCTTACTTAGCTTAATGGCCACCTCCTCAGAGAGGTTCTCCATGATGTTCTGAAGTCGGTGCCTCCCCCACATACCCTTTGATAATCTTTGCCTTGTTTCCTTCAGAACATTAACTTACTCATTTGTGTGTTTGTGTGATGTCTATTCCCACACTAACCCACCAAGGTAAACTCCCATAAAGTCCAGAACCATGTTTATTTGACCCATGACTGTGTTTTCCTGATAGCTCTGTTGGTAAAGAATCTGCCTGCAATGCAGGAGACCCCAGTTTGATTCCTGAGTCAGGAAGATCTGCTGGAGAAGGGATAGGATACCCACTCCAGTATTCTTGGGCTTCTCTTGTGGCTCAGCTGGTAAAGAATCTGCCTGCAATGTGGGAGACCTGGGTTCAGTCCCTGGGTTCAGAAGATTCCCTGGAGAAGGGAAAGGCTACCCACTCCAGTATTCTGGCCTGGAGAATTCCAGGAACTGTATAGCTCATGGGGTCGCAAAGAGTCAGACGTGACTGAGCGACTTTCACTTCACTGCATTCCAGGCACCCAGCTCCATGTGGGGCATTTAGTAGGTGCTCAATATTTTCTGTTGAATGAATGAACAGGGCAAGTGTCTGAAGGACAGTAAGACAGCTCTGGGAAAACAGAGGAGAGATGAGATCTAGACCTGGAGATGGGACCCACAACTGTCCAGCTGAGCTGCTCATGCCAGTGGTGGAAGCCTGGTTGCCCCTTTCTCCCTATTCCATGGATGGTCAGTACTTTGTTCTTACCCAGGGAATTGGCGGAGCTGAGACTGGGACTAAGATGCCAGTTTTACCTAAGGAGAAGACAGCAAAGCTCAGGAAGGTGTGGAAGAGGCTATTATTGTTGTCCATAAACAAAATATTAACCAGTTCTGAGTGATGACTGTCACTTGACTGAGGCCAGGATGGTAAATGACTGCAAGTGGCTCTATTCTTGTCTTCCCCTTTTGCATCTATAAATGTTTTCTTTAGGAATGTTATAAATCATCCTCTGTCAAAGGTTCAGTCTCTGATGCAGTATCAATAAATAGTTTTTCACAGGTTAATGGCCCATTGGTGTGGCTGAAGTCCCATACAAGTAGGGAAATGTCCACTCAGATGATAAGACTTGTAGCAGGGTTTGGATCTTGGTCCAGCCTCTTTAGCTATCAGACAGAGAAACTGAGGCCTATGGAGGGGATGAACCCTCCTTCCCCCACTACATTCCAGGCCTTCTCCCTTGGCTTATTGCCACAGCCACCAACCTGGACTCTCACCTTCAGCCTGTCCCCAATACCCTGCTGCTGCTGCTGCTGTTTAGTCGCTAAGTTGTGTCCAACTCTTTGCAATTCCATGGGCTGTAGCCCACTAGGCTCCCCTGTCAGTGGGATTTTCCAGGCAAACATATTGGAAGGGGTTGCCATTTCCTCCTGCAAGGGATCTTCCTGACCCATGGATCAAACCTGCATCTCCAGTGTCTCCTACATTGGCAGGCAGATGCTTTACCACTGAGCCACCTGGGAAGCCCCCCTACTGCCCTCGATGTCCTCTAAACCAGGGGTCTCCAACCCCCTGGTACTGGTGTGTGACCTGTTAGGAATGGGTGGCACAGCAGGAGGTGAGTGGTGGGTGAGCAAGCAAAGCTTCATCTGCCATTCCCCATTGTTCACATTATCACCTGAACTATCCCCCATACCCATACTTGGAAAAACTGTCTTCCATAAAATCAGTCCCTGGTGCCAAAAAGTTGGAGGGGGGACACTGTTCTAAACCACTACTGGATTTACCTTCTCAAAGCTCATCCCCTGCTCAAGAGAATCCCATGGCTCCTCACTGCCATGGAATTGCCCTTTCGTTTTACACCATCCAATTGCTGTAATGAAAACTCAGCCCCATTTCAGAGTCCTCTTGAGAACCAGCCCCAACCCACTCTTGAAACCACTTTTCCATTAGTTTGTTGAGATACAGAAAGGCTTACCTGGGACGGTTAAGACTCCAGCTTCAGAGCCTCAAGCCTGGAATTGTATTTCTGTTAGAAGCTGCATTAGCTGCAGTCAAATTGATGTGGATCATTTCTCTAAGCCTCAGTTTCTTCCACTGTGATATCAAGATGATAACAGGATTACACCTTGAAGCAATGGTTCCTGTAAAACACAGCCCTGAGCCTGGCATACAGTAGGTACTGAGTGTACTAGTGCCTGTGACTATCGATCTCTACCTGTCATTAGCAGGTACATGAGAGCACATACCTCATATTCCCTGCCTCTCTAATGTGGGTTCCTTGACCTGAACTGTCCTCCTCTATCTTTACCAGGTCA